TTTTCACGGCTTAGACTAATTGCCTTTGATTTTTCTGTAAAGGCTATTCCAAACTATGCTCCCACAAGACGGCAGGTTTTGTTTTAGACCAATCACCGACGGAATATAAATTTGACAAAGTTCCATGGAAACTGACTAAATGATTCTAATAAGAATGTAATTTTAAATATTATGTGCTGTACTCCATATTTCTAATATTACTTTATTGAAAATGATATTTCATAACCCTTGACATTGTAATTAATGACTAATGTAATTTGTTAGTTATGTTTCATAAAAATGTTTTGCCCTTCACCAGTTTAGGCTTCGGTTTTGTTTTAAAACTTGAAAGTTTGCCCAACACTGGTTTGCGTGTGTATTGTGAACAAGTACTTTATATATTTCTTAACAACAACGAACGTGAACACTCACAGCCTAGAAAAAATTTAAATACTAAGAAAATAATAATAATAAAATAACTAATAATAACATACAAACTTGAAACATACCTTCGAGTTCGAACACATCTCGATACGTGATTGCAATGTTTTTTAATTTTTGCTTCTCCATCCAAAGTCTGCCACTGATTTGAATATTCCACACAATGCCTCCGGGTGTTGTCGTTAAAAACCAGTAACTTGCAGGGCTGTGTTGCATTCTGATGAATAAGGCACTTCATTTTTCTGGTCAGAATGCCAGAAAAATGTGTCCTTGTTGACTATGTACGCCATGATTGAAGGATCGGGGATAGAAGTTTTCTTTATTTTGATTGGCCAAAATGGCACTCGGCATTGATCATAGTGCGTATTCCTACGCGTGTAATGTTTATTTTTTAGGTGAGTAGGTTAAAAAGAATTCCATTTTTAAAAAATAATTATTAAATACTGGCACATGCTGAATGTGCGGAGATCTGTTTTTTTAAATTAGTACAAAGAGGCGTGTAATTTAAAAAATTAAAATCTCCCACAGAGGTTGTTGCAACGAACTTGAACGATAAATTCCTTCGGTCTGTCGCCTAACAAAAGCCTTTGACTCAGTTTCCCATTCATATATGTTCCAAGTCCTTAAACACTTTGATTTCAAAACAAAATTCATCCGATGGATTAAAACTCTATATAAAATTATTAAATGCGCTGTCGTTAAGTCTGCTAGACACCTCATAGAAGTCCTGAAACAATTTAAATTAATCTCAGGTTTATCTGTTAACTTAGCTAAAACAGAAGCTTATAATTTGAATTCTGACATAAAGAATTTGAAGTCCGTATTTAAATCAATTAATTTAACATTAAACACTACAGCTATCAAAATTTTAGGTATTTGTTTTTTTTCTTCACACAAAGATTATCAAAATAGTCTTAATTTTGACAACATATTAGACAAAATAAGTACAACATTAAGGAAATGGAGACTTAAGAAATCTTACGTGAAGTGGGAAAATCTTAATAATTAAAACGTTTGGCTTGTCAAAAATATCCCAGCAACTGCAATGTTTATATACCCCAGAATCTATAATTGATAAATTAAATACAATTTTCTATGACTTCCTCTGGGAGGGAAAGGATAAAATAAAAAGGATGATACTGTATAAGGATTACAGCTCAGGTGGTCTGTACATGGTTAATATTCATGAACATATGTGTAAAACTTTATTTTGGATAATGAAAATTCTAACCAGAAACAATCAACCTTGGGTAAACTTAACCAAAGTGTACATCCTTACAATCCGTTAATCTTGATGTCTGCATATTACAATCCACAGTAGATTAAAATCTCACCATGCTTCTACAAACAATTATTCGCAAATTGGCATAAAATTTATGACGCGAATTTAGACAAATTAGAAATAACCGAACGGATATTATATATATGAACAAAAATCTGAATATTACAAAATATAAAACGATGGAATTATAACATATACTTTGTTTCTGATACATTTAAACCTTCACCCAAACCTTATACATCCAATGAACTATTTATATTTCAATCTTATAAGAAATTAACAAACAGATTGTGCCAAGACCAATCTTTAAACATATCAAAAGACAATGTGATAAATTGTACGATGACTATAACCGACAAGGAGTAGGGTCGCCTGTCCAACCTCGTGGGTTTTTGTCCGGGTCCTCCGGTTTCCTCTCACTGCTAAAGACCCCTACGCGCAAGCGAATTATTGAAATACAATTAAACCATATGTTAGTCCCGAAATGACCTAGTTTGTGTCGAGTGGACGTTAAATCCATGTCTCTGACTCTCTCTCTCTCTCTCATAAATAAAATAAAACCAAGTACGAACATTCCAAACCACTTGACAAAATTCGAAGTCCTAAAAAACGGTATAGACAAATAGTGTAATCAGATGGCATAAAAACACAAAACTTAAAACCAAAATACATTTACAAAACAAGAATTCACTTCGATACAATTATTCCACGCGCAATTACTAAATGGGAAGAGGAACTTGGTAAAACAATCAACGAATTTGAGATGACGTCAATATAGTGAATTTATGGGCTTCACTGAATGAAATATTGCAAAAAACGGTATCTATTGTAACCTCACTTCTCCTGGCATCCATTTTGGATTCTATAATGTGCACGAAGACATCGGCAATTTCACAAACCAGTCTGAGATTTCCTTTGTGAACCATACAATAATATAAACAAAATATTATATTTATAAAACAAAAATTGCATCTAATCAACTAACTAAAGAAGGGTACATCGCTTTTCTACATTCAAACGCAAAGATATATCACAAGTAGATAAGGAGAAATAAGAAAAGTGGAAATTCCTTTTGAATCACTGATCCTCCTCGAACTGTTGAGATTGTTAAGTTTACATACACCATGAACTGATTGTATTGTTGAATGTGTCTATAATCGCTTTCTTGTTATGTACTTGTATGTTAATCTATATTAATGTATTATACTACGGGAAAAAAAAATGTTTTTTTTTTAAAAAAAAGAAAACAAAAAGAATTGTTTGTCAATTGATAACAATGCATTAGTACTCGCCTATGGTAGTTAACGAATCCCATGACAGTAATACACCATGTACTTATATGCTTTCAAGTGGAGATTTCGCCGAAAAATCTCGCGGTTTTTTTGCATGGCGAATGTAGGATTTGGTTTAAAAAATAGGTTTCAGATCTTATTGCAAAAATTAACAGATCAATTTATGTTTAATAAAAGACGAGTTCAACTAGAACTTACGTGGGTAGCATATGGGTAAAAAAAACAGGAATATACTGACTACTAGTATGTAATCAGTCAGATCATATCCATGTATACCATTCAGGTCATATTTTAATATACTGAGCGCCATGGAAAACGCATCACTTTTTTTCCCAAATATTTTATTACTAGGTGGTTTTGTATGTATAATATTATGCAATACTATGAACTATTGTTTCACACAATGCTCCCAAACGCAAAAAATATCGGCAAGTGTGCACAAAAAAAAATTGCACGAGATGCACATGAAAACCCCAATATTCACGTGCAGCATTGTGTGTGAGCCCTTTAAAAGCATGTTTTCAACTTAATGTGCAGTACATGAACTGTGAAACGTCAATCTGTCGTAATTTGTTGTTGGACGTGTGAAGGAATCGAGCTAGAGATGCCGAGACTTACTGAAAATCAATCAACGGAATGAAGTCATGGGAATGTCCAGGGCTGGCATGTCTACACGTGCTATTGCCAGACACTTCAATTGTCATCAGTCCACTATTCTAAGGTTGGTGGAACGTGTTCGAGTTATTGGATCAACACGTGACCGTCAACGTCCTGGTCCACAACGCGTTACAACCCAGGCTCAAGACTGCTACATCCGGGTCACTCATCTGCGTGACAGATTCCGCCCAGCGACTCGAACAGGTGCAGCAGTCGTCGGAAGACAAGGACCAGTAAGTGCCAACACCGTAAGACGTCGTCTAAGAGAAGTAGGACTCCGTGCACGACAACCTTATGTTGGAGCTATCCTCAGGGATCATCACCGTCAGCGGCGTTTGATATGGGCTCAAGGACACCAGACATGGAGATGAGTAGACTGCTGCGTCTTCGAAACGAATCGATGGGGTGGAGGAAGTGTAATGGTGTGGGGAGGCTTCATATTTCATCACCGGACCGCCCTACACATTGGCAGGGGTCGCGTTAATGCTGTAGCCTACCGTGATGATGTCTTGCAACCGATTGTTGTTCCGATGTTTCGAGCGCACCCACAACTTCAGCACTTCCAACAGGATAATGCACGTCCGCATACCGCCCGTTTTTGTATGGACTACCTGACTGCTAACAACATCAATGTCTTAGACTTGCCAGCCATGTCTCCGGACATGGCACCGATAGAACATGTCTGGAATGAGATTGGACGCCGTCTGTATCGGAGACCACAGATGCACACCATGGATGCTTTAGAAGCTGCTCTTGTCCAAAAATGGAAAAATTTGCCCCAGGCCTTCTTTCAAACATTGGTAAAGTCCATACGACGTCGCTGCACAGCGTGCGTAAGAGCCCGTGGAGAACACACGCGCTACTGACATTTGTGTCGTACTTTTGGTTTTGACCCCTCTGACTTTGTACCGTTGATTACAGATTAAACATCCATAAGTGTACAAATGTGTTGTTATTGATGTGTTCCCATTTGAATATTGTTCACAATAAGAACAGGATCATTTTGTTATATGAAAAACTAAGTTATATAAATATCTTTTTATACAAATTCCTTTCATTACCATATGCATACATACCATATGCATTTCCTATCATTACCATATCCTGTCATCTGAACAAATAATCCTTCTAAGAACTACAATCATTATTAAATGTATTAGAAAAACCATTGGTTGGCAGAATCAAAGGAATTTCTGTATGTGGTGAAGATTGACTTTACAATACTTTTGCGAACCATGTGAAGAACTAATGTAGTATATTTGAGTTTGAGGAATATTGTCATATTATTTATGATTAAACAAATTAAATTCAATTATATTCAAATAAAATTAGAATAAAAATAAACTTACCTGTTGTACACTTAGATCCTATTTTACCAGGTACACATCCATTTATACAATGTCCTGTCATCTGATTACATTTACCAACAGTTGTACCTACTACTGGTTTACAGTTAGTATTACATAGTTTATTACATGATGATCCCCATTTGCCATCTTTACATTCAGTACAAGAGTTGACATCATACTGATTACAAACAGTACAATCAGTATTACAGTTAGTATCACACCTGTCTCCAGTTTTACCTTGAATACAAGATGTACATTTACCATCATTTCTATCACATCCACCATCACATCCTGTACTACAGTTCCTATCACATCCTTCACCATATCTTCCAGTAATACAATTAATACATCTACCAGAACCCCTATCACATCCACCACCACATCCTGTATTGCAGTTCATACCACATCCATCACTATATCTTCCTATACGACAATTAGCACATCTACCATTTCGATCACAAGTGGTCGTATTCTGGTCTGATCTCGGTTGACATTCTGTGCCACATGTAAGGTTACAGTATGGACCAACTGTATCAGGTTTACAGTTATTACATCTACCATCAGATTTAGAACATTGATTGTTTAAACAACCATTACTACAGTTCTGTTGACATCTTGTACCATAAAAATCTGTTTTACAATCACCCGTACAAACACCACTAGTAGAATCACAGCTGTTATCACGGCACGTATTACAGCTCTGTTGACATGTTGCGCCATAAAAACCTGTTTTACAATCCACAGTACAAACGCCAGTTGTGGGATCACACATGTCATCACGACATGTATTGCAAGCTTGACATGTAGAACGTGATGTATTGTAGTAACCAGTATTACATTGTGCTAGATCTGTAATATAGATTAAATTTTTATGTCATTAAAACAATAATTTCTTGTTCTGTGGTATCTCGTATTACATTTAATTAAATATCCATATAATGTTATTGTGCTGTATTTGATGCACTGCAGTATCCTGTATTGTATTTTACTAAATGTACATTTACTCGTCAAAAAAAAAAGAAACGCATAGTGACATTTCGTCGTCGGTATACCATCGCCTCGTTGCAACAAGTACCACCACTTGTCGCTGAACCAAACTGTTCTTCAGCGTTGTTATAGCCATATCCTGTGTGTCTGACTGAACCCATTGAAGTCGGATTTGACGGTGCCAGCGTGTTTCAAAACAGCAGCTCTAACGGGACGTCTGACTCGTAATCCGGTTTCACGTAGGCGTTTACGGACTGTCTGGTCTGAGATCCTACGTCGTCCAGGAATTTCTGCTGCAGTAGAGGTCGCTGTTGTGAACCGTTTCCGCAAATGACGTAAGCGGTTGTGACGATCCAGGACAAGCGAGGTCACTCTTGTTTGGCCTGAGCTTAGGCGGTCACGTGTTGAATTTCAGTGTCGGTACCTATCCCAAAGGCGAGAAATGGTACTCTGAGAAACATTCAGCAGCCTGGCTACATCTGTCTGGGATTCACGTGCTTGTAAACAACCGATAGCCTAGTTGCGTTGATCTTCTTCGGGATGTGGCATCACTTGGCTCTTGCGTGTAACATGTGCAACTGATTTTGAAACCGAGAACCCCGGGAATTGGGTTTCATGCGAAAGGTTTGTGAAGTCACAATTAGTTACCCTATATTTAAAAACAAGCATGGATTCCTTTATCCTTACACAATGACATTAAAAACAAATAAAATTTATGGAAACAACGGTCCCGTTCAAATAAAAACAAGCCAACAGTGAGGCTGATGTCCCCCGCCGAAATCCCAAAATAAATAGATGACACATATTAATTAATCGCACATTTATTTTTTTCAAAAGTATTGAGCAATCAAACTATAAACTAAGTTTCATCACTCTCTATCAGATAGAATCAAGATTATCCTGTCCCAAGGCATCGACCAATGAAATTGATTAGCTCTGCCTAGCTTCAGCAAGAAATATTAATCATTGAACTCAGTCAAGACATTCACCTAATGAACATCTACATCAAGTTTAAATATTCTACCTCAATTAAAAGCAGAGTTGTTATGTTCCAAAGTTTTGACCAATCAAATTGCTTATCGCTCCTTAGCCTAAGTAGAAAACTCTCCCCATCGAACATAGTCAAGGTAATGATATAATGAATCTATATTCGAAGTTTCATCGTTCTTGCTTCATTATAACCAAAGTTATCGTGACCCAAAGCATCAACCAATAAGATTGCTTATCTCTGCTTACTCTAAACAGACAATGTTCATCATCGAACTCCATCAAGGCATTCACCTAATGAACATGTACACCAAGTTTGAACATTCTACCTCAATTAGAAGAGAGTTATTGTGTTTGCTTATCGCTCTGCTTACCCTCGACAGAAAATGTTCATTGTCGAACTTAGTCAAGGTATTGATGTTATAAAGCTATACACCAAGTGTCCTCGCTCTCAATTAGAACTAAAGTTATCGTGTCCCAAAGCATCAACCAATCAAATGGCTTATCTCTGCTTACCCTAAGCAGAAAATTCTCATCTTCGAAATCCATCAAGGCATTCACCTAATAAACACTACACCAAGTTTGAACATTCTAGCTCACCGAGGCGGAGAGATATTGTGTTCCAAAGTCTCGGCCAATCAAATCAATTGCTTATCGCCTTGCTTACCCTGGGCAGAAAATGCTCATGATCGAACTTAGTCAAGGTATTAATGTAATGAAACTATACACCAAGTTTCACCACTCTCACTTAATTAGAACTAAAGTTATCGTGTCCCAAAGCATCAACCAATCAAATTGTTTAAATCTGCTTACCCTAAGCAGAAAATGCTCATCTTCGAACTCTATCAAGGCATTGACCTAATAAACACCTACACCAAGTTTGAACATTCTAGCTCAATTAGAAAGAGAGTTATTGTGTCCCAAAAGGTGTGACGGACAGACGGACGAATCCATAATAGCCCCTGCTTTCTTCGAGATTCCATAAACCCTTTTATCATTTACTTATAGAATATCCGTTACCAGTTACCATTAAAAATTAGTCAAGGTATTACTGTAATGAAACTATACACCAAGTTTCATCAATCTCACTTAATTAGAACTAAAGTTATCGTGTCCCAAAGCATCAACCAATCAAATTGCTTATCTCTGCTTACCCTTAGCGGAAAATGCTCATCTTCGAACTCCATCAAGGCATTGACCTAATCAACACATACACCAAGTTTGAACATTCTAGCTCAATTAGGAAGAGAGTTATTGTGTCCCAAAAAGTGTGACGGACAGACAGACAGACAGACGGACAGACAGACGGACGAACCCATTTTAATAGTCCCCTGCTTTCTTCGAAAGGCGGGGGACAAAAAATGATGAAAAATGGGCTATGCGTTTCTTTTTTTTTTAGCAGTATATAATGTTATTGTATTTTCATGTGTTAATACTTGCAATTTTGGGGAGGAAAATAAACCTAAAATTAATCTAAGCATTCCCATAATGTTTTATGAAAAAAGCGATTGTTTTCTAAACACTCCTGAAATTAATCTAAGCATTCCCATAAGGTTTTATGAAAAAGGCGATTGTTTTGTAAACACTCCTGATAACCGCTGGACAAGTGACCATATTTGACTGAAAAGTGTTATATTATCGGACATAGTCCTCTCTTGACATATGGAAATAAAGAACTTGGAAATATATAATCAACACTACCATGCTTACAGTATATAGAAGTAGAAATTATTGTCTAACGTATAAATGGTTACTTCAAGATACATTATTAAGTTCTAGATAAAGACGTCCTTGCTATAATAGTTCAAAAACAGATAACAACAAATAATTTGCTGCAAATTATATTAATCTAAGCAAGGGTATTACTGTATGAGGATATAGCATAGATCGTTCATTATCGTACCAACGGTACTTGCCAACTCTTACTTAGCCTGGATTGTCCAATTTGTCGCGGGTGTTTAAATCCATTTAAATCCGATATTTTAGAGAGTTGATTATGGGCGTGCCATGTTAATAAATATCCAGATGATAGTTTTGATGCCAAAGGAAAGTTCCGCAGTAGGTCAATCTGATTAAAATATAGATCTATATCTATTTTTATACTTTCAATGGCCTACACTACATGAAGATCTGACCAGCTGTTTTGAGAGATCAAGTCAGAGGTCATACAAGCGACCTTTGACTCTATGGCGTCAGACATTTGATTAACCAATTACCATTGATGTTTCTAGTGAATTACCCACAGTTCCGTGCACCACACACCAAAACCTCACCGCAACAGAGCATTTCATTGGCTAATCTCTCAGATCATCCAGAACACGTCAATGATCACAACAAGTCCAGCCCTTAGTTTAGTAAAGTCAAGTACAGCAAAATTTCGAACTATAAAAAAACGAAACGAAATAGGATCTGTGTTTTAATCAGATTGGCAATAGGTAGATTTGATGTATCTTGAAGTAGAGTTACAAAATTTTGCATACGTTAGCTATAAGTAGGGACAGGTGTCGTGCACGATACATGATATTGTTATCCTTGATATTGTTAAATAAGCTAACTACCTTTGAATTGGGTCAACATAGAGTGTTGATATGGGTTGGTAAATGTTTAGGGTAGCGACATTTGTTTACGATTATATTTAATGCATTATATAAAAGCTGTATCTGTCTATTGCAGATCTTTCATTTGGCCTAGCCCATGGGATTGTTGTGAGTTTTAACGGATTGAAACATGATCGCCATTTAATAATTTTGTTTACTATCGTAACAACGCTAGCAATAAAAACCGAGACTACGCTATTCTTCAAAGATTCACAACGTCGTTAACACTTAAGTAATTCGAATGAAGTGTACACTGTATTTCTTTTTTGATTGTCTATTTTTAAACTACCACGGCGATAACCGTGTCTCCAACTTCGAATAATGCATTTTTAAGTTGTTCCTGATAAAACTAGTGTCCCTTCTAAGGACCTGATTTCTCTTTTAAAGGACTGGAAACTAGCGCCAGTAATCGTAAAGTAACATATAATTACGTCAGGTACCTGCAAATATTTCAACTTCACACAATGTTAGAGCATCAGAGGTTGACACATAGACAGTTCTACCAGAAAATGATGTAGATGAACCTTGATTACATCCAGTTACATTATAAACAGACTGTATTGTTGATGTTGTATCTTTATAACATGATGTAGCTGATTGAAGTCCTTGTCCACTACACTGACCACTAGAACTTGTCTTTATCTCAAATCCTTGTAATCCACCCCAGTCTGAAAATAAACAATAATGTGCACCACCTAACTCAAGAATGTAATATATATCCTAGACATTTGCCCTTAGACGCATTCGTGGTTTACCTAAATGTATTTTCAAAAGATTGTAAACAAAATCCAGATTGCTGTAAAGGTATGTCTTAATAGCGTTCGTTATTCACCAGATATTGAACAGGTAATACAATAAAGGCGCTTTTAAGGGGAATACGCCGGGCGGAGGTTTTTTATCAGCGTATATACCGGAAACATAGTGCTATTTATCTAATTTCAAAGAAAGTGTCCACAACCTTGAAACTTTTTATACGCCCATACTTCCATGTGGACCTATTATGTAGTCGCCCCTGTTCGCCCGTGTCACCATTGACATTTGTTTGTGGCCGTCAGAACGCCCACTTCGTTTACGCAAATCATTTGTCTGATTTGGATTAATTTTAAAGTATGCGTTTCAAGACAAAAGATCGTAGATGAGTTCGATTTTGGTGCACATCGGATATCCTTTACTGGAGGTATGTCCTCTGCCTTCTATCCGAAATGTGAAATGTGAAATACGTACAACGTTTGTTGGCCGCCTAGAACTTTCAATATATATTACGAATCCAAGTGAGTTTGATTTTCGTGTGCATTGTTTCGGGGGTGGGGGATGTTAGTTATAAGTTATTAAACTTATATACTTACACATCCTGTCTTGTCTGTTATATATTTTAATTTGGTTGAAATAATACAACTGTTGTAAATCAACACACCACCAACCAGACACTCCTTCTATTGTATGAGTACATGATCCATAACTAAAATTACTATTAGTATTACCATCTACAGCTCTAGAAGCAACACCACCATGATTTGTAGAACTCTGCTGTACAAATTGTTGACCAATAGCAACGTTGGTGGATGTATCTGTTTTAAAAGATCGAATATTATAAATGCATGTTTAAAAAGGTACGTGTGGAATATATTGCGATTTGAGAAAGGAAGAACATTTTTAACCTATTCAATAAGGCTATGGTTTCTGTGTCGCCGTCCACCAAATCAAATATTTCAAACTTACCAACACCCATATCCATCACATTACTGAGGCAATGCCCGAGAAATCCGTTGAGTTGGAATGGGTCTAATCGAACGAATCAATGCGAGGAGTGTGATATACTTCAAAATGAGATTCTCCAAAACGAAACGGTGGCATTCAAGTTAATCCGTCTCATGAATTATACCCCATACACACCCCCTCTTTAATGAACAACATCTACATTTTATTTAGCCCGTTCTAGAACTGCAACTGAACTGTATGTCAGTAATATCATCCATGTACGAAATATTTGCGTTTAGTGTATTATTTCTTACCAGAAAATATCTGAACTTCACATAAAGTAACTACTTTACTTGAAACAGTGATATATACTGTTCTAGCAGATATACTAGTTGATGTAAGTTGATAACATCTATCTATTGTATATATATCTTGTGTTGATGTTGTATCTTTATAACATGATGTAGCTGATGTAAATCCTGTTTGATTACACTGACCATTAGAACTTGTCTTAATCTCAAATCCCTGTAATCTGTCTTTAACTAGAAAAATGTAACATTATTCGATCAGTTATTGCCTGTGGATTTGTTTGCTCCAGAGATTTACCCAGGATACCACGAATAAACATTAATCTTTATCTGAACACTATTAGTTACTGACTGCAGATTAGGTTTTCATATCAGGATTTCTCAAACTGAACTGGTTACATTTACCAGGAATGTTAGATGACTGACTGTTGGACATACGCCGTACCGATAATTAGTCCAAAAAGTATCAAATATCTATTCACAAACGATTTTAAATACAACATTCCCACTATTTTCAGTTAGGAGATTTAAATAACGTTATTCAACTCGCACTAGAGGGCTTTGTTATTTCTGTGCCATTGAATCAATTTAGAGGATACTTAAACGATTTTAAATAGAACATGACGGATACTTTCAGTAAACTGATTTAATATCCACGTGGTTATTCTTCTACTACATTTTGATCTGTTCATCTATGAAAGTGTTTATTTGTCAACTATAAAATTGTTGTTATTTAACTTTACTGAACGTATTTTTTATATATGTTCAAGTACACTAAATATAGTATTAGCATTTTTAATTTTTAATTGTTCATGTTAATGTTTCTGGGAATTTCTAAGTCTTTAGATAAAGCCACGTTCTACGTTTGTTCCAAATGTCAGTAAAACCCATCCAGTAAAACAACCACATTATATCCACAATTGAGTAGATGAAATGGTATACAAAGAAACATATTCGCATTTTACACCAAAACCGAAAAAGATTCGAAATTGACTAAAGAAGAAGAAGAAACACTTACAGTCATCTCTATTAAATAGTTTAATCATGTTTATATTATAAATCTGTTGTAGATCAACACACCACCATTCATTACCATTACTGTATGTATGTGTACAGCTAGACTTCTCCCAGTGATTATCAGTATTACCATCTACAGCATTATCTGAATTATATCGTAAATATGTTGAACTCTGCCCCGTTGGTTTGCCATGAGCAATGTTTGTATCTATAAATACATCATGTAAATAAGATCACACATAATTGTGAAACAATATGTCAATTAATGTATTTAATATAACTGTAAAAAATACTGTTTAAAGAAAAATGATTTCAATAAGTTCAAAAGGCCTAACACTGTAAATTGATTCTCTTTATTTCTACACTGAGTACACACAGGTAGTTGTATTGTCGATTTGTTTGTCAATAGCAAGTCTAGTATACGAATTACTACAACCCTGTAGCTATATGTTAAAATTATTCAATACAATAAAACAAGTGTTACCTATACAAACACCACATGACCTCATACAGTTCTGTCTATACAGCTCATCTCTAGGATATGCAGTATCACCACATGATTGACAGTTTGTGCTGTCTGTATCTCTACAAACATCTAATGCTGTAAAAACGAGAGAATAACTTTAATAAACCGGTAATAAATAGATTGTAAAGGTACATGCGCACTAGAGAATAGTGTTAATAACCTAATAATACATGCATACTAGCAGAATGATGTAAATTTTACGCTACGATGTCCGCTTAAACCTTGGACCATTATACCTCTCATCGATGCAGGTGCTGTGGTTCTGATCCAGCACCCGTATGTGAAACGGAGAAGGGGTGTCTACCTAAAAACCCTCAATAGCAAGCTAAGTTTCCAATTATTAATAGGGGTGTCTGTCAAAAGAAAGTCATTTTTTTCAATTAACGATGAGTTGGTGTTGAGTGCACGTCAAACCCCATTTTACCCTGTTTCGTCTACAGAACATGAATAATATTCTGAATAGGTCTGATTCTATCTTTTCTTATCTATTGAGCTAGACTTTATAATTCTATATAAATAATATAACATGATGACTACTTACCAGAACTAGAATGTAATATTAAAGATGATATTATCATTACGAATGAAAACTGGTTAGCTTTCATTTCGTACAATATACTTAAGACCTAAGAAAAAAAATATACAGATTTTATTTGTAAAACCGTGTCACTCTATAATAATGTTAAAACGGTTATATTAACATCTTACATTTGTATCATAATACATCACTGGATTTTAAGAGTAAAATGAATGTAACCGCATACCTTAAACCACTCATGCAGATAGATATATGATAATCTTCCTACTTGAACATTAAGTCACTTCTGTATATAAAGAAGACGGTGTGTGAAATATAATACAATTGGTTAGTAAAACATGCATGATAAATACATAGTTGGTCTAATTATTATACTTATATACGTAATTCAACCAACAGCATCAGTTAAAACAAGTCCTAATAACTATGGCGGGTATTTCACCAGTGCCTTTTAACCAAGAGAACTCTATAAACATAATTTAAATCTATACATGTATTTGTCTGAAATGGTTAATAAGAGAACCTTTATTAATATTTGTATCTTTTCTTACCTGGGCATTCGATTGGTTCTGTAATTGACAATACAATGTGTTGTCTATCATCGCAGATCTATTTCATCTGGGTTATAAATCAAAGTATGCTAAACATATTACTATTACTCTGATGTGTCACGTTTTAACTGGGAGCCGCGGTGGCTACGCGAGTAAGACGTAGGCTCGCTAACATGGGCGTCTCGTAATCGATTCTTGCGTTGGTCGAAAAAGTTCATGGGGTTTTTCCGCCCCCCCCCCCTTGTTATTGTTAGTGGTGCAGGACAGAAGATAGGAAAACCCGAATTCTCGTCTACATATTAGCATGCACGTAAAAGATCCCTTTTCAGTTGGAATTTGATATAAGAGTAGGCCGTAGTGCCGCTGTCCGGATAAACTGTATCTCATAGCAAATTGTATGGCGTATGCCCGTCTTCATTAGTTCAGTTGGAGCACAACAGTAGGACGTTAAACCGCTTTCATTTTCTGAGTTTATCTGCGAGAGTTATATTTTATAGTGAGATAATCGCTTGATTACTTTGACATCTTGAAGAGAGAGAGAGAGAGAGAGAGAGAGAGAGAGAGACTAGGTTTAACGTCCACTCGACACAAACTAGGCCATTTCGGGACAGTGGGGGGAAACTAAACTGGAGGACCCGGAGAAAACCCACGAGTTTGGACAGTCGACCCTTATCCTTGTCACGCACAACTGGGGAATCGAAAACACACCAGTTGCCTCAACGTTAGACGTTATGATACAACGCGCACGCGCTAACCATTCGGCCATCCAACCAGCCGCAGTGAAAGGAAGGTTGAATATATTTTATACAGTAGCTGATGGTTTAATGTTAGCATGCATCCACGCTTATTCATATCTATAGTTAAGCAGGTAAGTTTAAATAATAACTGTTGGTTTAATGTCAGTATGCATCAATGTTTATTCATATGTATTGTCGAGAAGGTAATTTTATATAGTAGCTGGCGATTTAACGCTTGAATCCATATTTATAGTCGAGCTCATAAATTTGAGTCTACATAGAGATGCAGGCTGTATGGCTGTTCGATATGAAATGGGGTTAAACGTCCTACTTTTCTACTTCAACTGGCTAAAGAAACGGGCATACGCTATACAGTCTATTATTAGAGAAATTTAGACCTACTCTTATTTTGAATTCCATCTTTCTAGGGTTCGTTTACGTGCCCAACAATTTGTACACGGGAACTCGGTTTTACGTCCCATCCGAATGACTATACACTATCCCTTGCCGGGCCCTGCGTCCCACATCCCTGACAAGGGGTGGGGGACCACGCCGGAAAATCAGGATGAATTTCCTCGTCCAGGATTGGGATTGACCACCGGACCTCTATGTTAGCGAGCAAACGTCCTACTCGCTGAGCCACCGTGGCGCACATGGCTGTTCGAATAAAAATTCCCAGCAGTGTACAGCAATAGACATTTATAATATACAACTTACCAATGGTCGTGGTTGTCTATGTTAATAATCCACGCAGTGTGCAGCAATACACAATAATATACAACTTACCAACGGTCGTAGTTGTCTATTTTAATGTTCAATCATAATATTTGTTGAAACACATCTATACAGGGTGAAAGCTCTTGTAAATTAAATAAAACCCTGGATATTTAAGCAGGAAGAATATTATAATTGCATGTTGGTTTAGGTAAATATACATCTTCATATGCTTCGTTGCACACTTCAGCGAACACAAAGATGAAAATGTGTAAAGAAACTATATGCTGTAGCGCGTTGATAAGAAAAATTGTAAAGGTATAAACATACAACATGTGGAGTTCCCATCCAATTTGACTAGAATACATTGGCTAGAAGACAAATACCCTGAAAAAAACCTCTAATATTGCGCCTAGTTGACCATTTCAGTTTGTGTACTATCATCCATCTATTGTGGTTTCTGTGGTTAGATTTTTTTTGTTTTCAATTTATATCCTTATCGTTTCAGTTTATATGATATTCATTTTACCTTTTGGCTTAGTAGGTTATGGTCTAAGTTCTTGGAATACAGGGGGATGCCGGACCATTTTTGACAACGCCATGCATTCGTATGTCTTTCTTACACTAACTATAATAGTCTTAAATACCCGTCATCATCCTCGCCTTTCTTACATGAACCGTAGTCAGTCTTAAATATCCGTCAACATCCTCGTCTTTCTTACACGAACTGTAGTCTTAATACATCCGTCACCATCATCGTCTTTATTACGTGAACCGTCATCATCCTCGTCTTTCGTAGACTTAAACATCCGACATTATTCTCGTCTTTGCTCATATGTGTTAAAGGCACCCTTTCCGTTTCGTCTAGCCTTGAGGGTGAGGGATTGGGAGGGGCTTAATATAGCAGCTATGTACATCAAGCAATGATCAGGATTTTACAGTTAGAGAAACTGTAATAATACCAGATTTCAAGGATAACATAATTATAATCAGGTATAAGTTACATGTGTTTGTATTTTTTGTACAAAATTAAACACCGGTAAGCAGTCTATTGCACACTTCAACGAATATAAAGAAATGAAATGAAATGAAATGGGGTTAAACGTCTTACTGTTTTGCCCCGAACTGGGCTAATGAAGACGGGCATACGCCATACAGTGTGCTATGAGTGAAATTTTGCCCGGACAGCGGCACTACGGCCTACTCTTATATCGAATTCCAACCGTCAAGGGATCTTTTACGTGCACGCCAATGTGCACACGGGACCTCGGTTTTTCGTCTCATCCGAATGACTAGATAGCGGTCTTTGTCAGGCCCTCGATCCTGTATTACTGACAAGGGGGGACAACGCCGGAAAATCTGGATAAAGAATGGAAGTCGGAATTACATGTAAGTCAAGTGCATCCTTGTTTTTTTCTCTTATGGTGTTTGGGAATCACGGTGGCTAAGTGGCTAAGACGCTGGCTCGCTAGCCTGGAGGTCGGGTGTTCGATCCCTGCATTGGCCGAGAAAGTTCATCCAGATTTTCCGGCGTGGTTCTCCCTTGTCAGTGATGCAGGACGGAGGGGCTGACAAAGAAAGCTGTCTAGTCGTTCGGATGGGACGAAAAACCGAGGTCCCGTGTACACATTGGCGTGCACGTAAAAGATCCCTCGACAGTTGGAATTCGATATAAGAGTAGGCCGTAGTGCCGCTGTCCGGGTAAAATTGGCCTCATAGCACACTGTATGGCATATGCCCGTCTTCATTAGCCCAGTTCGGAGCAGAACAGTAGGACGTTAAACACCATTTCATTTAAGGACCGCAGAAAAGGGAAGGACCGCAGAAAAGGTGGGAGGCACAATGTTTTCATGAGGGTGCGCATTTCCTTGAGTACATTGTATTTAATTTAACTCTTGTCGAAATTTGAGGGCACATTTTCGGAAGAGAGGGCACATAGCCACCCTACACATAGCCACCCCTATACCTAGGTAGGATAATTCATCGGATTCGATCGTTATCAACCATTTCCAGTTTCTTTTGTTTTTGCATTTATGGGGGCAAGGTAGGCGATTGACTACCTGCCCAGAACACCTCTGCAATTACACAGAGTGAACAATTTCAATGTTAGATGTGCAAGTAATTAACGAGTGTCGTCTATTTAGGGACACCAGCCTAGATGTTGATTTGTTAAGTACAACTAGATTAATGTCCAGTCGTCATTTGTCTTGTCTTGGCATGTCCAACAAATAGATGTTGCGATTTCAACTGTTTTAACAGCGGTCATCGATTATATCCGTTATAATGGACCGTCTGGTGGTCTTTCCTACAGACCATGTAAAAGATAACGGTCCGCAATAATGAATTTTGGCACCGTAAACCGTCCTCCACGTCAATAGCGTTGCAACATTGAGCAATAACGGTGGGCTGTCCATTATCAAATATTTCACTGCATATCTGACAAACAGGCGATACTGTGTCCATCTGTGTCTCAACATTTGAATCATTTTGTGAAATAAATTCGCCACGTACTTCAAAATACAAGCTTCCACAGTTACCTGCGAAACCGCTGTGAGACACGCCAAATGAAATTTAGCTGATACTATGAATGTCACTGTATTAGGTCTAAGGTAAGAGCATCATTAATCTCCGATCCCCAATCGGAAATCTAAATCTCGTATTGGAATGTCTCCTATATTGAAACAGGGAATCACTTAATGACTAAAATATGTATACAAAAATTGATTCAGCTACCTCGAAAACGCATATCCTGACACCAAACTTGATCCGTGTGTAAAATTGGAATATTCCCGCCAAAACTGACCACCAATGTTGACTCAGCCGTAACACTTAACACAAAAATGTGTTGTAAGAGAAAGTCCCTCAGGTTTTCCGGCGTGGTTTCCCCTTTCTACTGGTTCAAGACGGAATTCTTGACAAGGACCACTGTCTAGTCGTTCTAATGGCATGCATGATCTATGTGCAGCACTCGGCAGGACTTCAAAGGGAATGCACTAGTGGTCAGTGCATCATAACATGACCTGTTAATGACTACAAAGGAAATAGGCAGTGCAGTTAAAGATACATTAATCTGATAAATAAACAATACCATATATGATGATCACTTTTAACCATTTTCCCTAATTGTCGTACACTATATAAGCAGGAGTTTTCTGACAGTTAGGTAGACGACTAAAGACGACTTGGCAGAGGGGCGCAATGGTGGATTTATAGTTGTGTACCGTCCTGGTGTGTTCCTGTCATAGACTAGTTCCCGATGTAGTCTAGTTCCTGTATATTAGTTTAAGTTTCTGTATTGTTTTGTATGTAGATGTTATATTCTGTTGCGATGCAAATAAACCATATATTTATGAAACTGATCTCTGTTATCACCAAAATAGTGTCACACGAGACGTTAAACCCTATTTCATTTCATTTAATTTCAAAATCACCGGTTTTGTGTTATGTGGTAGGAGGTATCTTAGAGGATTGGGCGAACGATTCACCGCGTTGTATCGATCTTATTAATCTCATTCTATAGCTTGATGTGATAACTAATTGGATAAAGGCCAAACGAATAACGAATTTAAAATTGGTATAGTTTTACATTGTGAACACCTTCTAAACGTCCCATTATATGCTGGCAAAGCATGTAAAACATATATCAATGTTTGTTTGATTTAGATGGCACTTAAAATATGCGTTAGAGGTCGAAAGATCGTGGATGCGCATATTTCTGACATCGGACCACGACATCTTGGGTTATGACCCTGTCTTTTACGCAAAAAGTAAAAACTGTACGAAGATTGTTCACCCAATTTGAGATGAAACTTAAAATATGGATTAAGGATCGAAATATCTTGGATTGGTTTGATTTCAGTGTGCATCGGACCTTCCGTTCTCCCTTTGCCGAAAACATTATGAATGCGATACAAGCTATAATGTTAAAACCATTTTTTTAAAATTTGGTTATGCTCCTTTATCGATATTCAGCGTTCTGCAACCTCCCTTTGCGGAAAACCTTGTAAACTCTATGGAGGCTGCAGTTTTTAAAAGATATTTTTCATTTCCGATGTTATGTATTTCAGAAAATGAGTGGAAGAGCCCTATTGCTTTTCACTGTTGTCCGCCCATTTCTTGCACAACCGTGGAAGTAGCATGCTTAAGGAAGTCGCGGCGTGCATGTGTGTGTGTGTGGGAGTGTCTGTGTGTGGCGGGGACGCTTTGCTGTAATTTTACATCTGAATTATCGTTTCCTTTCTCTCAATCTAATCTCAAATACAATAAAATATTCTTTATAAACCAAAACAAAAACAAAAAAAAACTGTGTTCTACTGGTGCATTTCTATATTACTTAAATAATAAAAGAATTATTTACTTTTGTACGTAAACTATTTTATAATTCTTTAGAGGAAAAATAGCTTATTACTTCTCTCAAAAATATCGAGAACAAATATTGGGAAAAAAAATAGGCTAAATCAATCGATATGGATTAGCCTATTTATTCATCTGAAAATTTATCTAGAATATTTTGCTTTTGAACGTAAAATATTTTATTATTTTTGACAGAAAAATGTCGTCATTTTTGACGGGTTATGAAAAAGGCGAGATTTTACATGTCCCCAACGAGCCACCATATAGTAAACAGCTCCATCTCTAAGCATAATGAGCGTTAAAATTATGACTCCTTTTTAACTCCCCGTGTTAAGTCATAATTCTAACTCTCATTATGATAACAGGTAGCGCTGTGTACCATATGATGACTCATTGGGGACATGTGAAATTGTGCCTTCTTATATAACCCAACAACGCGGCAATTTTTCTTTCAAATATAGGCTATATTTTACGTGCAAGAGTAAAGAAATGATTCTTCAGATGTAAAAGTACAGCCCCTAAGCCCGAAAAATTTCGGGAAAAGGGGGATAACTCCGGAACGGAATGTTAAGGAACGCTGATGGACGGGGTAAACCGATAGCGCTCGTTCTCTCATTGTCCCAATGATTTACATCGAACAAGAATTAAATCTATTAAATGGCGGTTACAGAAGGCTAAATATTGAAGAGGTGTTCATCATGGGGGACATAATCTAATTCGATAAAAAAAATCTGTTATAAACTATAGCCTGTTTGGCATTCACAAAGTTTTCGGAAAAGGAGGATAACACTTGCACGGAAGGTCTGATGCTCACTTATTTCAAACTAATCCATAAAATTTCGATCCCTAGCGCATATTTTAAGTTTCAACTAAAATTGGGACCAGAAACTTCGTGCATACTTCTCTTTTTGCCATAACCCACGATGCTGTGGTCCGATATGGATGCGCATACCTGATACTCAAAAATCGAATTCATCTGTGATTGTTGTGTATTAAACATATAGTTAATCAAACTTATGGTCTCTTCGGGGCACACAAGCTATGTACTCGATTTTGGTTCAACCAGAGGCAAAAATTAAGGAAATTATATGCCAAAATTGAGAACCTATTCCAGATCTTTCTGATATAAACATGCATTTTAAGTTTGAGAAAAAAATTGAATAAAAATTGTGAACTCTACAGGATCCACAAGCTATGTGATCGACTTTCCTAATATTAGGAACTATAATCCAAAACATTATCGTGAGATAGGTGCCAAAGTCGAGCCCTTCCGAGATCTTTTGGATATCAACATATAGTTTAAGTTTCAACAAAGTCGAATAACAAATTGTGACCCGCACAGACAGGGGTGATGGCATAATACGTGCACATAAAAATATGTGTGGATGCAAAATCTTGAAAGCATAATATTTGTCAATATTACCTTATGTTGACTAATCATTTTAAAGGTTATGTACTTTGGCAGTCCTGTCAAGTATCAGTGGTATAAATAATATATAGGTTCAAAATTTATAGGCATGGAAACATTAAAATATAAGAGGGGAGGGATGGTGACAATTACCCCGGAAGACATCAACGAGATCATAATATGGGACTTTGAGAGGGTGTAAGCAATGCAGAACTATACCAATTTAAATTCGTTTAGTTATGACACCAAACTATAGAATGAGATCAATAATAGCGGTAAATCCCCAAAAGGTCTTCCTACCTCCTAACACAAAACCGTTGAATTGGAAATGAAATAAAATGAAATAAAGTTTAACGTCCTGTCGTTATGCACCGACTTGGCTAATGAAGACGGGAATACGCCATGAAGTATGCAATATCAGGGGATTTCTTCCCATTAGACACTGTTCCTTGTCAGACACTCTGTCCTACACCACTGACAGGTGGAAAGCACGCCGGAAAACCCGAGGAACTTTCTCCTCCAACTCCGGAAGCGAACCCGGGACCGCCTGGTTACCGAGTCCGAGACACCGCGGCTCCCGATGATTTGGAAGCCTGACCCGATATAAAGCTAGATTAATTCAATGATATCAAAAATGCTTTACTTGTGTATGCGTAAAATATTTCGTTTTTGGGGGTAGGGGTGGGGGGGAGAGATAAGATAAGTTGAGCTAAGCATTACCGATTTATATTTATTTATTCCCTTTCATGCATGACATAATGAGTTCTTGCTATATATTATTCTTTTAGAAAACAAATAGGCCAAAACAACCGATAGTGCATTATTTGGAAAATGCACAACAGAATAGCCTATTTATTTATCAAAAAGAATATCTAGTATAGTTTGCTTTTGTACATAAAATTGTAAACAGCGGCATAAGTTACCAAAATAAGCTTTAGAGCTATGAAGCCTTTACCGCGAAACTTTTGCGAAATGTTAAAATGTGAGCGAAGCTAAACTGATTACAATAAATTAAGGCTAAAATGGAAATAGAACAAAATACGTATTCTAACAACAATATTTAAGAAATAAGTCATTATAAATTAGCATTTTACATGTGTAAATAGACACGTTAACATTGTCTTCTGTATTAAACGACTGGTTTTCATATTCTACGTGTATTAGTTGGAATATTTTTGATATCCAGTGGTTAATGTATCATCTGTTGTAGAACTGTAAACACTACCAGGAACAGTTGATTGGCTCCTAAAAGAAATTAAGCGCACAATCTTTTTAAAAGATAATTGATATCCAACAAGAGGTTTCAAAATGATAATTTATGAATTATTGTAGACTCTGTTAAGCTAGCTAATTAACCATAATTGTGAGTCACAGATCGATGGACGAACACTGATGACGGCAATATGCGATAACATTAAAATTTCAGCATAGGATAAAAAAATGTTAATGTCTAGGCAACCACGCAATTCTTTCATTCCGCAATTGATTGATTTACATATAACACATTTTAACGCAAGAGCGATTAGGATGTATAGCCGTTGTATGACTATTTTAAAACAACTTGTAATTAATAAATGTTACCTTTTCTTGTAGAAATGTAATGACAGGAAGATCGCTACCGTTCCTAGTACACCACACAGAACAACAATGACAACATATACCACATGAATTAATGCTGTACTTGACGAAACAGGTAGATGTTCTATTGATAATAAAATAATGTTTTGTTTCAGTTTATAGAAATGTTATGTCATTATAATACAATTTGTTTTAATTTTATACGGTGTTATATTAAATTTCAGACGTTGAATAATGTCACTGTTGTCCAGTACTGGTACCTGATATAAACAATTCTCCTGACTATTCTACGGTATTCCAGTTGGTCGTGTTGTAATGATATACCGAGAATTTAAATCAGTATGTACATAACTCAAATGTTTGATTGGAGGTCAAATATCGTGTAAATATAGGTTACCATGACAAGTCGGGCCTTGAAACCCATCAGCACAGCCAACAAGTCCACAACTACCAGTAATTATATCACATGGTGTTTCATCAGTACAGTTACCACATTTACTGGAACAGTTGTCACCATAACTCCATGCTTCACAATCTGTTAACAAAAGACAAACATTCACAATTACATTTACTTTCCAAATTTTTACCATAGCTGCCTGCTTCGCCATTAGTTAATACAAGACAAACATTTACTATATATTTGATATCATCAATCATTGTTGTTATTAGTCACGTACTGTAGTCTACATTTATCATTCGATTTTCATGAATATTGGTGGCTAATTATATACACAAAATTAATTAGGTGCGTAGTATTAAATTCTTTAGTTATCGCCCTTGACACACTGAAAATATGCCAAAATTAACCCCCAGCTGTGATCCGAGTGAGTTCTTTATTATTAATTCGATTTAAATCAGATTCTTAGTTATGAATGCCAATCCACGTGTTTCGTTCATTTGATTGTAATGAAACTAGATATTTTGCTTCGAATCCGTGAGACTTCAAATTGAGTTTAAATTTGAACGATAGTTGTAGATTATTGGCGCAATGAGTGAAACAATTGCGGACGCTTTTTTTTCATTCTCTCTCCATGTATAGACAAATAGTCTCTTTTGCTGCGATGAAAATACAAATCAAAAATCGAAATATGAAGATTCAAATATTGAATTACAAGGTTTTCGTAACTCATTTAGGGCGTACGCCATTAAGTTTTCCATTAAAGACTTGATGGGGGTGATTGCTTCATATAATATGAAAACTTTGGCCAAGAAATAATTAACACGAAGCAATAATCGGTAAAATCATTTTACTAAGTGGAACATAACAAATCCATCAACCGAAGTACAGCGGAAGTTGTCCCTAAATGAGGAAGTTGGTCTCTAACTTCAAACTGACGATTCTTTTGAAACGTATTACATATTTTGAGATAATTGGTCTGAACACATTATCCCTCTAAGCGCTACAGTCAGTATTAAATGTTTTACCAAAAACAAAGGGTCGCCGAATGAATGGATATTCTGTATGTTGTGGTGACTGACTTTAAAATATTTTTATGAATCATGTAAAGAGCTAATGATAATTTATTTCAATTCGAGGGATATTGTTTTAAAATTTAGAATAAATATAAACTTACCTTTTGTACAGTTAGATCCTATTTTACCAGGTAAACATCCAATGATACAATTTCCTGTCATCTGATCACATAAACCATCTTTACAGTTAGACCGACAATCATTATTACACTCTATACCATATATCCTGTTATGCATCCATCAGTACATAATCCACTTGTTATATTACATTTACCAACAGTTGTATTAACTACTGATTTACAGTTAGTATTACATAGTTTATTACATGATGATCCCCATCTTCCATCTTTACATTCAGTACAGGAGTCAGGATTACCCTGATTACAAACAGTACAATCAGTATTACATTTCTTATCACACCTTTCTCCAGTTTTACCTTTAATACAAGTTGTACATCTACCACTAGATCTAGCACATCCACCATTACATCCTGTATTACAGTTCTCATCACAATAAAAACCATATATTCCTACAACACAGTTCGTACATCTACCAGCAAGTCTGCTACACCCATCAACGCATTCTGTACTACAGTTCATACCACATCTATCACCATATCTTCCAGTAATACAGTTAGTACATATACCATTTCTATCACAAGTGACACTGGTCTCATCCGAAATTGGTTGACATTCTGTGGCACATGTAAGGTTACAGTATGGACCAACTGTGTCAGGTTTACAGTCATTACATTTACCATCAGATTTAGAACATTGGTTGTTTAAACAGCTATCACTACAATTCTGTTGACATCTTGTACCATAAAAGCCTGTTTTACATTCGCCAGTACAAACACCAGTAGTAGAATCACAGCTGTCATTGCGGCATGTATTACAAGCTTGACATGTAGAACTTGATGTGCTGTAGTATCCAGTATTGCATTGTGCTAGATATGTAATATATATGATATAGTATATTATTATTATTATAGCATGCAATAGATCTGTGATGTATATGTTATATTGTAATAGATCTTTAATTATATAGTATATTATGATAACTTGTACCGGATACTTAATATATGATTTAGATCTGTAGACTCGGGTAGTGTGCATCGATTTATTGTGAATGTGTAGTAGTTTATCTGTACTTTATGTTATATAATTTTCATTTCCCTGTATCGGTCTTCATATAATTGTGGCAAAGAGATACATATTTTGCAATGGGTGGCCTGCATTTGGAAAATATTTTTTTGACACTACGCAGTGTGACGGTAGCCAAATCGATAGAGGTGACACTATGCTGATCCACTCGGAATCAAGATTTTAGCGATTGAATTTTCGGCCAAGCCTCGATCATCATTACTAAAGTCGGTACAATAAAAAACATAGTCTCGATTATTCATTTCATGATTAAATCATAACTAAAAGTTGAGCAGCAAATGGGATCCTAATCCAGTAAATATCGCAGGCTAGCATTGACATCGAGAGTTGATTATGATCTGGATAAGTTAATTAATGTCTAATTAATAGTTTAGATAACATTTCAGGCTTGACGAAAGCCCTGCAATAGGTAGATTTAGCTCTTGCACAATGCATGTTTAATATCAGTCAATCTATGATTATGCAATACTCATTTCTACAACAAATTTATATAACCCTATATTATTATCACTAATCTGGTAAGAGACGTGGAAGCTAGCATTGTACTGTAGCATATAATTACATCAGGTACCTGCAAATATTTAAACTTCACACAATGTCAGAACGTCAACAGTTGAACCATAGACCGTTCTACCAAAAATTCTACAAAACGAAACGGTGGCATTCAAAATAATCGGTCCCATACGCCTCCTTTTTAATGAACAACATCTACAGTTTATTTAGCCCGTAATAGAAATGGTTATCCAAAAATAGAGGAAGACATTACAACGAAGCCTACCGTGTGTAACTGGACTGTATCATGGATGTCAGTAATATCATCCATGTACGAAAGATTTGCGTTTAGTGTATTATTTCTTACCAGAAAATATCTCAACTTCACATAAATTAAGATATTGACTTGAAACAGTGATATATACTGTTCTAGCAGATATACTAGTTGATGTAGGTTGATTACATCTATCTATTGTATATATATCTTGTGGTGTTGTTGTTGTATCTTTATAACATGATGTAGCTGATGTAAATCCTGTTTGATTACATGTACCACTAGAACTTATCTTAATCTCAAATCCCTGTAATATCTCTTTTACTAGAAAATATAACATTATACGAAATGTTACTGCCTTTGGGTTGGCTTTCTACAGAGATTTACCCAGGATCCAAAAAACAGACATAGATCTTTATCTAATCACTATCAGTTATTGACTGCGATTAGGTTTTTTGATATCCGGAATTCTCAAACTTAACTGGTTATATTTAACGAGTATGTCAGATAACAAACTGTTGGCTAATTGAGCTTCCATATCTAATTGAAATGTAAACTAGGTTGGGGTGTGATACCCAGTGTTCTAGAGTTGAAGAGGCGTTCATGCATGACACCTGTCACTCAATCGATTGATATATTGGACTTTCAATGTCTATCACCAGAAACACCAGCCAATTCTTTACAGTTTTCTTTGCATTTGTTATTGTCTTAAATCTACATTACCCTATGTTTTATTGAACACGTGTGCGGAAATATGATGCGGAATTTACTAGAGCAGAAACAGGGACATACATCCGTTATAAACTATCGTCACCAATATTATATGCAATGGAATAAATTGATATCTTTAAATTGATGCTACTTATAATTGTAATGTGTACACAAAATTGCAGTAACATTTTAGCGTTCAGAGTTAGTTTTACCTCGGAATTCGACTGCATGATTTGGACTATATTTTTGGCTTAATCCGTACCGATAATCATTCCAAAATGTATCAAATATCTTTTTACGAACGATTTTAAATCGAACATGACCGGTACTTTTAGTTTTGGTATTAAATATAGTTATTCAATTCCCACTAGAGGGATATCTTCTTTCTGTTCTATTGACGAAACTTGGAGGATACTCAGACGATTTTAAACAGAACATGACCAGTACTTTCAGTTTGATGATTTAAATAACGTTATTCACCCCCCTCCCACACTAGAGGGATTCTTACTTCTGTTCCCTTGAATAAACTTGTAGGATACTCAGACGATTTTAAACATATCATGACGGATACTTTCGGTACGTTGATTTAATATCCATAGTATCAATCAGTAGATAAAATGGTTATTCATCTACATTTGTCAAATTGTTGTTCATTAACTTTACTGTAGGAATTTGTTATATATGTTCAAGTAAATTAACTATAGCATTATTTAGCATAATGTTTATTTTTGAAACCACAATTCCAGTTAATGTTTCTGAGTGTCTTTAGATAAAACCACGATCTATGTTTATTACAAATAAACTTCCATCCAGGAAAACAACCACATTATATCCACATTTGGGTCAATTGTTTGTTGCCATGCGACATGCGGAGTTCGTATTTCCGACCATTTAACCCTGTAATCTAACGCGAAAGAGTTCCCTGTAATATTTGTAAATACATTGTTACTTTGCAATTGTGACCCCATTTCTATTCAAATATGGTAATAGTATTAAATATGTTATCATTTATTTGTTTTAAATCGCATTGTTTATCATTGTCTATCGACACCAAGAATCTTGATAGCGTTGTCAAATGAGCCGTTAGCAGAGATTGTTTGGACTGCAAGGGAAGACAATTCTGTTTGGGAGATTGAGGTACTAGCAGAATAGTGTAGATTTTACACTAAGATGACAGCTTGAATCTTAGGTCATAATTAAGATGTCTCATCGGTGCAGGTGCGTGATACGGACTAGGGGAGAGAGGGAGAAATAAGATTTAACGTTCGAGTCGACACAAACTAGGTCATTTCGGGACTAACATATGGTTCAATTTTATTTCAATAATCCGCTTGCGCGTAGGGGTCTTTAGCAGTGGGGGAAAAGAGGACATGAAGAAAACCCACGAGGTTTGACAGATGACCCAACTCCTTGTCACGTACAACTGGGGAATCGAAACCGCACGGGTTGACTCAATCACAGGCTTTAGGATACAACGCGCTCACGCTAACCATTCGGCCACCCAACCCCCCAATTGAGTATGGGTGTCTGTCCAAAGACCTTTACTCAATTAACTATGAGCTGGTGTTGAGTGGACGTTAAGCCCCGTTTTACCCTGTTTCATCTACAGAACATTATATTGTTAGTAGGCTAGATTCTATCTTTTCTTATCTACGTGTTGGGAATATTGAGCTACATACCAAAACTAGAATTTATAATACTAAAGAAATACTATAACATGATGACTACTTACCTGAATTAGAATGTAATATTAATGATGTTATTAATATTACTGTTGAAAACTGATTAGCTTTCATTTTGTACAGTATTCCTAAGTCCTAAGAAAAAATATTCAGATTTTATTTGTGAAATGAACCGAAATGAATTTTGCCCGGGCAGCGGCACTACGGCCTATTCTTATATCGAATTCCAACTGCCAAGGGATCTTTTACGTTCAAGCCAATGTGTACACGGAACCTCGGGTTTTCGTCCCATCCGCACGACTAGACAGCTGTCCTTGTCAGGCCCTCCGTCCTGCATCACTGACAAGGCGAAACCACGCAGGAATCTCTGGATGAACTTTCTCGGTCAATGCAGCGATCGAACACCCGACCGCCAGGCTAGCGAGCCGGCGCCTTACCCACTTAGCCACCGTGATCCCCCGATTTTATTTGTAAAAATGTGAAAGGCTATAGGCATATTAACATTTTATTTGCAATTTTACCTTAAAACAAACTTTCTATTCTCAGTAAACCGCTCATACAGATATATATATATATATATATATATATATATATGTGACTCTTCCTAGTTGTACATGGGGTGTGAGATATAAAACAATTGGTTAGTAAAACATGCACGATAAATACATGGTTGGTGTAATTATTTATATAAATACTTAATTCACGGTCCTTAATAATAATAACCAGTATCACTTTTAGTTAAAAAATATCCCAAATAACTAGACCCGCCGTACAGCTGTGGCGGGTATTTCACCAGTGCCCTTTAACCAAGAGAACTCTATAAACATAATGTAAATTTATACATCTATTTGTCTGAAACGGTTATGAAAGCTCCTTTAATAATATTTGTATCTTTTCTTACCTAGGCATTCGATTGGTTCTGTTATTGGCAATAAAACGCAATGAAATTCTTTCAGAAAATAAACATATCTACCCACGTTCGTGATTTATATGATGCTGAACACAAGCATAATCATGTATATTCATGAAGCCGTGATTACGATCAATATGAGGGGGTTGGATGGCCGAATGGGTACCGCGTGTACGCTGTATCATAAGGTCTGTCGTCTGTCATTGAGTCAACTGGCGTGTTTTCGATTTCCCTGGTTTTACGTGACAAGGAGTAGGGTCGCCAGTCCATCCTCGTGGGTTTTCTACGGATCCCCCGGTTTCCCAACACTGCTAAATACCCCTATGCACAATCGAATTATTGAAATAAAATTGAAAAATATGTTAGTCACGGAATGACCCAGTTTGTGTCGAGTGAACGTTAACCCTCATCTCTCTCTCTCTCTCTCTCTCTCTCTCTCTCTCTCGGTCAATATAATCTATTACTGAGGCAGTGGTAATATGATATATTTCTGAAACAAACTTTACGAACAATTAGACATAAAGAGCAGTTAATGTTTCTACGTAAAACTGCGTTGGATTTTGAATATAATTTTAGCCATGTGTATTTTCGGTCAATGTTCATGATATAATAATATTCTTGCAAAAGATTTGACATCTATCATTGCATATCTATTTCATCCCGTGGCTAAGTGTTTAAGATTCATGTTCGATTCCTGCATTAGCCGAGGTATTTCATCGGGATTTTCTTGTCAATGGTGCAGGACAGGTCTGACAATATACAGCATATAGTCGTTCGGATAGTTCGAAAAACGAGTTCCCGTCTACACAATAGCGTGCACGTAAAGATCCATGTTCAATTGAAATTCCATATAACAGTAGGCCGTAGCGCCGCTGCCCGGGGGGCGAATGGTTAGGCACGTGCGCGCTGTATCATAAGATCTGTCATTGAGTCAGCTGGCGTGGTAACGAATCTCCGATTGTACGTGACAAGGAATAGGGTCTCCGGTCCAACCTCGTGGGGTTTCTCCGGGTCCTCCGGTTTCCTCACACTTCTAAAAACCCCTAAGCGCAAACGAATTATTGAAATAAAAATTGAACCATGTGGTAGTCCCGAAATGACCCCATTTCTCTGTTTCTCTTGTACGCCCGTCTTCAGTATACCCGTGTATCAGCTATTGAATGAAAAGGAAGGTTGAATACATCCTTATATTATTGTAACTGTTGCTTTAACGCCGATTCGTATTAAAGGACAATATTGGTGTCAGTCATTATAAAATATGTGATAGAGCTCGTTAAATACATCCAAAATACTTCCGTTTCTTCACGTGCTTGTTACACATTTCCCGTAGCGATGATCTCTGTGTTAAAATTATATTTCAAATGTATTTAACCAGTTCTATCACATATGTAATAATGACTGACACTTTTATATAGTAGCTGATGCTGTAACGCCAGGATGCACCCACTCTTATTCATACTAATATAATAGTAATGGTATATTGTAGTAAGGCTGCAAGGCTGTTCTAAATGAAATGAGGTTTAACGTCCTACTGTTCTGTTCCAACTTGGGTAATGAAGACAGGCATACGCCATGCAGTGTGCTATCAGGGGAATTTAGCCCTACTCATATTTCGAATTCCATCTTCCAAGATTTGTTTACGTGTTCAACAATTTACACACGGGACCTCGGTTTTTCGTCCCATCCGAACGGTTATACGCTGTCTCTTGTCAGGCCCCCGTCCCACATCACTGTCGGGGGGAGGGGGCACGCCGGATTGTCCACGGGACTTCCATTTTAGCGCGCCAACGTACTATTCACTGAGCCTCCGTGGCCCCCACAGCTGTTCCAATAACAATTCATATCAAAGAGTATGTATCAATTGTACTTTGAAATAAAATCAGTAACTTTTATGTGGTCGTTAATTTTAGATCTAAAGGTTTTAGCTATCAACTTCTTGTCGGTGTGTTGCTTTCATTTTTGTCCCGGAAATAATATTTTATATTTGTGTTTTTAGTGTTTTCCTCCTTGCTCTTGATTGGTTATTCAAGATAAACGTGGCTTGTGAGTCGATTATGGTCGTGTATGAGGATATGTATAGCAACATCAATTGCGGAAATCGACATAAACATGTCTGAACATTTAGAAACAATTTTTGTTATC